ATTACAGAGGAGCAGTAATTTATCAATTTGAAACAAGAATATTTCATATTCATTAGGAGTATTTAGGCCTTTATTTTGAAATAACAATAAACATGAAAAATCATGAAAGATTGGTAGAAACCTCAGTTTGTTTTCATGCCATGAGTTCAAAAGATAACACCAATTCCATTTTATGAGAAAAAAAAGTCTGAAAATGTTTTCAATATTTAAAAAAATGTATGGATTCTCGATTTGTGATGCGACTGCGAGCTATAACGCTATAATGTAGTCTTTTTATGCATTTATTAGAGGTTGAATTCAAATCAAAAACTGACAAACCACCCATACTACTTCTGAATAGGATGTCTACTTCATAAATTGTATGAAAATTATGGAAATACATGGTTCAGATTAAACATATAAAAATGGAGGCGCCCTTATATGGGCTGTAATGGAGTCTGGTGTTCACCTAGTGAAAAAGTTGGGTACTGCGCCCGAATAAAATCTTACTGAAAGCTCATTTTTTGAGATATAAACCTAAAATTTGGAATACAACTTGTTCAGATTTTTGTCTTTAATTTTCTTGCAGTTTTAGAGTAAAATATATTTTGTAATATATATATATTTTATATAAAATATTAATAATTATATTTTTACATTACACAATTTCATAAACTTATATAACTTTTTTTCTGTTTCATTTTTTATAATTTTTAGACTTCTACAATAATCTGGAAAATGTCTTCTTTAAAACAAGACCAGCCATAGGTCTATATTCCAAAGCATTCCTGAATTACAACCATTTAAGTTTGGATAGTGATTTTTATGTCTATGCAAAAAAAAGGGGGGTGACCGTTAACAGGTTAAATTGATTAAAAATACAATTAATAATTAATAAGAGAAGAATTAATATCATTATGCATTGAAAGCACAGCTATAAATCATCTTTCCGTTGAACGTGAACAATATATGAACCAAGAAATGAAAAATATGTAGCGTTTGGGCAAATCTGAATCAGATCTTTCATTTCTCCATCCTTTTAAATGCTTAGTTTTATGATCAAAACATATAATGCAATGCAGATCGTGTTGACGTAAACATTAGCATAAAAACATATTTGAAGTTTACTTGACGTCAATGCGATATGCAAAAGTGCTTTAACCTGCTGTAAAAAGCCTGACATGTGACATAATTGTACGAATTTTTTATTTTTATGCAACATCTGAACCTTTACACAAAATATTGTGATGTGTATTTTTTGTTTTGGATCTTATTTGATACTTTTATGGCTCATACAGAACGATATAGTGAGGAAAAAGCAGCTCAGTTTTATTTTATTCAGAGACTCTGAGCAAAAATATGCAATTTTGCTGCAGATGCTGATATTTATATTAAACAAAAATGCTTATGCAAATCAATTAAATCTTTATTACGGAATAGCAGATACTTGCATATAATATCATTATCTGCCAATAATATGTCTTAGTAAGATGATATTTAAAAGCTTAGTTTTATGACCAAAACTAAATTTATAGCTCATATAGTATAATATAGTGAGAATATGGAGGCCCAAACTGAGCAAAAATATGCAATTTGGTGCAGATGCTGATATTTATATGGACAAATAGTAATATGAAATTCTGATACTTTTAATTTAAATCAATAGCAGATACTTGCATAAAATGCATATAAATGTCAATAATACGTCTTAGTAAGATGATATTTAAATGCTTAGTTTTATGATCAAAACATATGATGCAACGCAATACAATAATGATTGACAGATGAACACATAAACCTTCCTCTAAAGCCTGATGATCATATTTAATACTCATGTTTTTTCTAATAAATGATGTCTGATAATCAAGTAAACCGAAGCGGCTTCAGTGCAGATTAAATATTACTAACAATATCAAAGTTATTCTTACGTTTGCTTGATCAAATCAGCTCAGATTTGACAGATTTGAAAAAAACTTGAGTTTTTATGTTTGTACAATTACACTAAAAGACTTTTACTTGATATAAGAGTGTAAATATCAAATATCACTGCAGGAGATCGAGTGAAACCGCAGCGTTTGCATCATTCACAGGCCTTAGAAATGTGTGTATCTAATATGAAACGGGCTTATTGTGTGTAACAGGTCATTTAAAGCCCAGTTGTTTTGAGGGTTTGTTTGATAAAACGTTGTCCAAATGATTCCAGTTCACATGGCTATGCAGAAGCGATAAATAAATCTGTATTATACATTTTTAAGGCCAAACAAGTAATTTGTTGAGGTCAATTTGTAAAGAAAGACTACACATATATATTCACACGCGCATACCTATAGACTAAACACGTGATACGCATGTGCAGCCGTCTGCGTTTCCACAGATTCACGTTTTTTTAAGTTTACACAGAGATAATTATTCATTTTTTTCATAACCTGAAGGTTTGCGTTCTCGAGCGTTCTCACTGTTGTTGTGCGAGTGAGCGGCCGGATCGCATTCAGGGTTTTCTGCTAGAACGTGTCGCGTTAGCGGCCGCTACGTTAATAACTAATGATCTTTACAACAGAAGTGAATCAATCACAACTAACTTTATCTGGACAATAGCTTAATTCTAGTTCTCTGTATAACAGTCTCTGTTACTTTAAAGGTGCAGTCTGTAAGAATGACAGCTAGTGGTCGGAATAAGTACTGCAGTCTAATTCAAAATATCGGAGATCGTCGTATCTCCCGCCTCCGCGGACTCGACGCTCACGCGGGTTGCCAGTTTGAGACGCGCGACAGGAACAAGCGCAATGGACATTGAAAATCGGTGAATTGGCAACGTACAGTATCACAGACCAAAACAATAACACACATTCCAGCAGAGTAAAATAACTAGTGTAGTCCTGCTAGTTTTATAGGTTTGGTTTGTAAGATTGAATTCACCCAAAACTAAAAATTGTCATTTACTCGCCCTCATGTTGTTTTAAACTTGTGTAGGTTTCTACTTTATTAAAGGCACTATGTAAGATTTTTTCGCCACAAGAGGGCGCAGTTTCCAACAATAACACAGGCGTAGGTTGATGACGCAGTGATGAGCTGCATGATGGGACTTGCTGATGGATCTAATAATGTTTATGGATGAGTGCAAACATTCATGTTTTTAACATTACAGTGGTATGAAGCAGGTCGCGATTGCTAAAGAGACAGATATCACACGCGAGTCCCGCGGATATAAAGGAATGAGGACATTTAATTCTACCGAACTACCCGCAAGTGCTGATTACTCACACAGGACAGTTTATTAGACGAATTATTAGTCGCGGACGCTAGCTCTCGGCATCTCAAAAACGCCCCGCTGATGTTGATCCTCATTTTAGTTCTCCTTGTTTGTCCCAAAGTCTGCTCGCCATGGTCTATGTTTGAACGAAACAAGAACTGCGTGCCGCTAAACGTTACGCACGACGCAGTTGTCCACGTCTGTCGCCATGGTTACGTCATGCTATGGCAGTACGAGCGGAAACCGAGGATAGCGCGGATATTGCGTCATTGACAGGCGACGTTTTTTTCCGGGACGGCCACTTACTTAAAATCGGAATTTCTCTGAAATAAAAAATCATTGGAGACTTTTGTGATATTGTAAGTACACAACTGCAGGAAATATATCACACTGTGCAAGTAATTTTTGGATATTTTATTACAAAATTCTTACATATTGTACCTTTAAACGCAAATTTTTTTTTCATGCAATGACAGTGGTTATTTTTACTCCTAAAAAGCACCATAAAAGTTGTTCTGTTGACATACGATAGCTTAGACATCTTTGACAGGCGTCGTACAAAGTGCTTGAATTGTACTTTTTTGTAATGTAAGTCCTGAAAACCCTTGAGAACAGCCATATTTAAGAAAAGATACTTGAAAAGTGCTTGAATTATTGAAAGACAATATATGTGAAATTAGTGTTTAATTTTATCGATGAAACAATCTTTTCACACAGAATTAACGCTGCCGCCCGTCTAATACAGAAATAGAGGCATTTCACATGGTTATGAGCGTAATATTGCTCATATTAATTTCCAAGTATATGATACAGCTTTCATTCTTCAGGTCAATCATATATTCATGGAATAAATACGTTTGAATAAGGAAAGCGAGATCTTTGTCATAGTATCCTTTCAATGGTTAAAGTTTCCACAGTCATTGCATGTGCTGCTCTTTATTTTGTACCATTTTGTTTTATTAGATTATCTATTTAACGTTTTTAGAATTTGAAAGATAATAAAGATATTGTTTGATAAGTGAGATCTCTGTTTGTAGTGCTTGAAAACCAAAAAAGTAGTGCTTAAAAGTCCTGGAATCTAATTTTACAGTATCTGTACGAACGAACTGTTTAGTAGAGTGAAGAAGTTACATACAGCACCTTTAATTTCCTATTATCACTGTAACACCGTGTCCTAAATCGAATCAGCCAATCAGAGCAGTGTGTGGGCGGAGTCTCGTTGGAAGTGGGTGGAGTCTTGTGGGAAGTGGGCGGAGTCTCGCGGCGAGTGCGCGGCACCACAGAGTAATCCTTACGGCACTCGCAAGAACATGGTTAAGTACATAATCAAATTCACAAATATTACACCATTTAAACATTATTATTAAAAATAAATAGGCTACTGAGTTACTAAAACAATCTTTGTCAAAGAATACACTCGTTCAATTAAATATTGAACGTTTGTGTAATTTCAAGATCTGAGGTGAATTATCCATTGTTGCTTTTACGGCTGCAAAGCTGGAGCACTAACTGATATTCAGAGTCACATGACACGCTTTAACATTAAATAAAGCACATTAACAGTGCCTGAGATTATCATTGCCACACTTTGTTGTTGTTCCAGCTGCTTCTAAAATAGCATCGTCGCGGCCGGTTAGGACAAACACTCCGATTAACATGGAAAACATGCATTTATGGCGCGCCGCGTGTAGAGTTAGGCCGCGGTGTGAAGCTGCTTTGAAACGCTGTGTTGCTGAAAGCGCTGTGTAACTGAAGGTGCGTGACTCTGCAGATGTTCCTCCGGCCGAGCAGGAGAAGCTGTTCGTGCAGAAACTGCGCCAGTGTTGCGTTCTCTTCGACTTCGTGTCGGACCCGCTGAGCGACCTGAAGTGGAAGGAGGTGAAGCGGGCGGCGCTCAGCGAGATGGTGGAGTACATCACACACAACAGGAACGTCATCACCGAGCCCATCTATCCAGAGGTGGTCCACATGGTGAGTACACACACACACACACACACACACACACACACACCACAAATCCCTCTGAACACTAGAGGGCGTCTCTCTCTCACGCACACACACACACACACACACACTCACACACTCACACACACACACTCACTCACTCACTCACTCACTCACTCACTCACTCACTCACTCACTCACTCACTCACTCACTCACTCACACACTCACTCACTCACTCACTCACTCACTCACTCACTCACTCACTCACTCACTCACTCACTCACTCACTCACTCACTCACTCACTCACTCACTCACTCACTCACTCACACACACACACACACACCCTCACTCACTAACTCACTCACTCACACACACACACACACACACACACACTCACTCACTCACTCACTCACTCACTCACTCACTCACACACACACACACTCACTCACTCAATCACACACACATCCTTCTGAACACTAGAGGGCGTCACTCACACACACACACACACACACACACTCACTCACTCACTCACTCACTCACTCACTGACTCAATCACACACACACACACACCCTCACTCACTAACTCACTCACACACACACACACACACACACACACACACACACACACACACACACTCACTCACTCACTCACTCACTCACTCACTCACTCACACACACACACACACACACACACTCACTCAATCACACACACATCCTTCTGAACACTAGAGGGCGTCACACACACACACACACTCACTCACTCACTCACTCACTCACTCACTCACTCACTCACTCACTCACTCACTCACTCACACACACACACACACACACACACACACACACACACACACACACACAAACACACACACACACACACTCACTCACTCAATCACACACACATCCTTCTGAACACTAGAGGGCGTCACTCACACACACACACACACACACACACACACAAACACACACACGCCAAATATCGCTCTGAACACTAGAGGGCGTCTCACACACACACACATGCCACATATGCCCCGCAGAAGTACGATAACACACATCATTCCAGGGGTCATCATCGCTGTGTCTGAATAAACAGAAGACTGAAACGCTTTAATGAAACACGACTAATAAACCCTCGAGGACGAGCTCAGCTGTCCTGATGAAGTGAGTGTGGAGTAGAAGCGTGTTATTAAATGTCGTCTTTTGTTGGACAAGAGGCTATTAAATGCTTCTCATGTTTGGAAATATCAGTGTTGCTTTTTCAAATGCTCATTATAAGCGCCTCAAACTCAGTGCTTTCAGAGTGAGCCGATCATCACTGCGCCGTTGTGATTTCAAAATCACGATAAGCCAAATCGGTTTAACCGCAATTTCATGTATATCAGCAGCCCTAATATATACTGTGTATATACACAAAAAACAGCTGTTTATATAGGGGAAACGTACAAAAAATATGCAATTTTGCTGTGGATGCTGATATTTATTATGATGATTATATGGACAAAGATGAAATTCTGACGCTTGAAATATAAATCAATGAGATCTTTATTACAGAATAGCAGATATCGCAATAAAATGCATATAAATGTCAATAATACATCTTAGTAAGATGATATTTAAATGTTTAGTTTATGTCTAAAACATATAATGCGATGCAATACAATAATGATTGACAGATGAACACATAAACCTTCCTCAAAAGCCTGATGATCATATTTAACACTCGTGATTTTTATAATAAATGATGTCTGATAATCGAGTAAACCGAAGCGGCTTCAGTGCAGATGAAATATTACTAAGGATATGAAAGTTATTCTTGTTGAGAAGTCTCGTTTGGGCGCATGTGCATCAGCTTTATTCCATCATTATTCCTGAATTTCATCTCTTTGATATGTGTTAGAGCCCTCAGCTGATGCGAAGCCGTGGCCTATCCAAGTGCAAATGGACTCGCGAAAATAAGCATGATAATATGCTCTCAAACACACACACACACACACACACACACACACACACTTTGATGATTAAAGCCGAGAACTTCAAAGTGATGCGATCGGGAGGATTAAAACCCTTTCTTAGGATTCATTGGTGCCACGTTTCATTAATCAAACCAGCGCTGGTGCGTTTGTACCAAACGATTATAGATTATATACATATACAGTCAAACCAACAATTATTCAGACACCAGATATCATTTTTTATATTGTTTCACTAGTGTGTGCAGGACACTATAGCTCATTTATGTAAGTGAGGAGAGCAAAATAAAGTAAACTGTGACATATTACACCCAAATATTCCTCATACAGTGACTAATATGGGAGCAAATATTACTCCTCCACTTTGAGCTGATGATGTTTTGCTGAAGTGTGTTTTCTGTAATTGCTAATGCTCTTTTACACACACACTGAACAACATGAAGCATTGCTTGGTCACTGGTTGAGCTAAACTGGTATTCTCTAATTGTGTAGTTAAATTTAACAGCTGACAGATATTCAACATAATTCATGTGTGAGAGTCTAACAGAAGGACGGACAAAACCAGTCAAATATCCACTGAGTTCTGCTCATGTTTATCACCACTATAGCGAATAAACTGTGATGATGTGAGGAATGTCTGAATAAGTTTTGGTTTGACTGTATATCTGTATATATGTTCAGTAAGTTTAATGTGGTTTGTCCTTTTCAGTTTGCAATCAACATGTTTAGGACGTTACCGCCTTCATCGAACCCGACCGGCGCCGAGTTCGACCCGGAGGAAGACGAGCCCACGCTCGAGGCGGCCTGGCCACACCTGCAGGTGAAACACACACACACACACACACACACACACACACACACACACACACACACACACACACACACACACACACACACACACACACACACACACACTCACACACACACTCACACACACTCACAAATCATGTGTACAGGTGAACCTCGAAAAATTTGAATATGGTGCAAAAGTTCATTCATTTCAGTAATTCAACTTAAAAGCTGAAACTAATATATTATATAGACTCATTACATGCAAAGTGAGATATTTCAAGCCTTTATTTGTTATAATTGTGATGATTATGGCTTACAGATATGAAAACCCCAAATTCAAAATTAGAATATTGTGAAAAGGTTTTCATATCTGTAAGCCATAATCATCAAAATTATAACAAATAAAGGCTTGAAATATCTCACTTTGCATGTAATGAGTCTATATAATATATTAGTTTCAGCTTTTAAGTTGAATTACTGAAATAAATGAACTTTTGCACCATATTCTAATCTTTCGAGTTTCACCTGTAGAAAATACTTTTAAAGGCAACAATACTTTTATTCTGCAGGGATGCAATATATTGATCAGAAGAGACAGTAGAGATATTCATAATGTTTCTGTTTCAAATAAATGCTGTTCTTTTGAACTTTCTGTTCATCAAAGAATCCTGTAATACTCATAAATGTTTCTTGAGCATCAGATCCTCATATTAGAGTGATTTCTGAAGGATCATGTGACACTGAAGACTGGAGTAATGATGCTGAAAATTCATCTTTGATCACAGGAATAAATTACACTTTACTGTATATTCACATAGAAAACTGCTGATTTACACTGGAATAATATTTTTAAAAATTACTGTATTTTTGAACAAATAAACGCAGTCAGCAGAAAATACTTATTTAAAAAAATATAAAAAAATATCTCCGACCCTAAACTTTTAAATGGTAGTTTGTTTGTATAAACAACATAGGCCTGTTTTATTTAGATGCCTTTTTTTGTTTGTTAATCTAATAAAATGAATTATTGCGATATTGTTTACTTGAAGCCTTTATGTATAATGCATTATAAAGGTGTTCATAATGTACGTTATTATGCATTATATTTTTACGTTATAAAATGCATTATGATATTTGCAGATTGCTTGTTACATCTGAAACTGGTTGTTTGTCGTGTGTTTTAATGCGTTACACTTTCTAAAGTTGTTTAATGAATAGATGAGTATTATAACTGGTTATATGAGATCATACAATGCTTTATAAGGTGCATAATTAATGCATTAAAATACATGTATAATCCTTTATAAATACAGGCTTTAAGTAAAGTGTTACATATTGTTTTCACTGTAATAAAATCCTATAATTGAGAATAACGGGTGTAATTATGTGGATGCATAGTTTTTTCTTTAATACAAAAATTTGGGGGTAAAATGTGCATAATTGTAATGAAATATAATTTAAAGTATTTCCCCACTAATAAGTGTTGTGTAAGGCATATATTTCAAATACTTATTTTTCTTTCCACAGCTCGTCTATGAATTTTTCCTGCGTTTTTTAGAGTCTCCAGACTTTCAACCAAACATAGCCAAGAAATACATCGACCAGAAGTTTGTGATGCAGGTACGGTGTGTGCGTTCATGTTAAGTTTGCCATCGACAAATCATGTTAAAAATTAATATACTTATTCAATGTGAGTTTCTATTTCCCTGCATTAATATATTGCCAGTTTGCTGTATTTAATGCATTTATGTGTGTCACCCTCAATAATAATGTTAGTTTTAAAGGGTCATGAAACACCGTTTTAGTTTTGAAATATTTTTATTAACTTTTGACTTTTATTTTGCAGCGTTTATTTAAGCTCTTCGATTGGTTATATTAAGTTGTGTTGGAGATTCTATGAAAGAGAATTTATGCCCACAGAGAAACTCTTACTGTGAGAATAATTATATAATAAGTCATCCATGTGTTATAAGGTCTAAAGGTGATGATACACAGGGCAACTTTTTGAGCAATGTTGCTGGGCAATGTTGCCGTCAACGGGCAACCAGATGAGACACAGGGCCCACGACCGATCTAAATTATCCAGATAGAAATGTGTTGCCCATTTTCAATGGGAAAGTGCCCAAGCAACAATCCCTCGGCAAGATTGACCAGCAGCATTGCTCAAAAAGTTGCCCTGTGTATCATCACCTTAAGAAAACATCACATTCTGTGATGTCGACACGAAAATAGCACAATAAAGCTAAAGCTATATTATTTCCTACAATCAAAATTAACAGATGTTTACAGCACCATTCTGGATAAATGGACAATCACAATTTTCTTGTTTAAAATTGAGATCACGATTCTCACAAGAGTCTCAACAGACAACAACAAAAATGGGTTGAGTGAATGATTCAATGAATCACTCATTAAAACTTCACTTGTTTTATTAGTGGATGAATCAGTGTTTTTTAAGCGAATCCCTTGAGTGAATGATTCAATGACTCACTCATAAAGCCTTCACTTGTTTCATTACTGGATGAATTGGTGTTTTTGAACGAGTCTCTTGAGTGAATGATTCAATGACTCACTCATAAAGCCTTCACTTGTTTCATTACTGGATGAATCAGTGTTTTTGAGCGAATCTCTTGAATGAATGATTCAATGACTCACTCATAAAGCCTTCACTTGTTTCATTACTGGATGAATTGGTGTTTTTGAACGAGTCTCTTGAGTGAATGATTCAATGACTCACTCATAAAGAGTTCACTTGTTTCATTCATCTATACATGACAACGTCATTTAGGAATACGATCAGATGGGTGTTTGAATCGAGATCGTGATCTTTTAATGATTAATCGTGCAGCTCTAATGTGCAACACGCATCCCAGAAAATGTAATTTAGTGTTTCATGACAGTTTATTATTTCTTGTGCATCATTAAGATATCTCTGCATTGTTTGCAATCTTTGCATGATTACTGAAATTGTTTAATTCAGCATTTTAACGGATTGATTGATGTGCGATTTGATTGCAGCTCCTGGAGCTGTTCGATAGTGAAGACCCTCGAGAGCGTGACTTTCTGAAGACGACTCTCCACCGAATCTACGGAAAGTTCCTGGGTCTCAGAGCTTACATCAGGAAACAGATTAATAACATTTTCTATAGGTGAGACTCGTTTCTTTGTTTGTTTACTTGAAACTACTGTTACCTTTTTTGCAGCAAATGGTAACAGACATACAGACAATACATAAAAAACACAATACATAATACACATCGTACACATCATAGTTCATATATATAAATATATATAAAAACACAAAAAACGTGAAGTTTTCAATAGACCAACAGCCACCGACACAAAAAACCTTAATTTTTTTCCCAAAATTGGTCAATTTTGTAAAATTGAATGTCTTTTTCAAAACCTGTCTATGATAAATATCAGTATATACACCTATAACTTTTCCTGCAACCTTAACAAGACTATTTATCCTATTTCTATTTGTCAAAGTTAATTTGCCAAACCAAGCTACAATACAAGAGGAACAAACTGATTCAATAAAAGACTTATTAAATAATAGTCATCATCTTAGAGCATTCATTGAATGTTTTCATTTTCCTTAGATAAAAAAAAGTCTTTGTTGAAACTTATTGCAAAGATCGATACATTTGCTTCAAAACTTAGTTTGTTGTCAATCAGAGTTCCCAGATATTTATAATTGTCAGTCATTTCAATTTCCACATCATTTATACACATCATTGTGTGATCTTAAACTATTTAACATCCAAATCATGAAATTATTGATTCATATATTGTTTTACTGCCCACATGGCCAGAAGAAATGTTGTTTCAGTTGAAATGTTGATGTTTAGATTTTTTTTCTTCTTTGGAATAATTGGTTTTAATGAAGTAAATGGAATCTATTTTGATTCAATGTAGAGCTTGCTGTGCGTGTTACGGGTTTTGCTGTTATAATTATCGTTCTGCAGATTATCTGATTTTTATCTCCATGCAGGTTCATCTATGAAACGGAGCATCATAATGGAATAGCCGAATTACTGGAAATTTTAGGAAGGTATGAAACATTTCTTTTCTTAATAAAATCTATTTCTGCTCTCAAATCTGATGGGATGGGCAACATTGAAGCTGTCACACACACACACACACACACACACACACACACACACACACACACACACACACACTTGTGACCAAGAGTTCATTTGATGCCAAATCTATGGAATCTTGTTTCTGCCTAAAATAAAATGTTTAAAAAAAAATATTCTCATAATTCGGACTTTATATCTTGCAATTCTAAGTTTGTATCTCACAATTCTGACTTTTTTCTCAGAACTGTGAGATATAAACTTTTTTTCTCGCAATTCTGAGTTTATATCTAAATTGTCGGAATTGGGAGATGTGAAGTCGGGATTGGGAACTGTAAAGTCAGGATTGGGAGATGTGAAGTCGGGATTGGGAGATGTGAAGTGGGGATTGGGAGATGTGAAGTCGGGGTTGGGAGATGTGAAGTCGGGATTGGGAACTGTAAAGTCAGGATTGGGAGATGTGAAGTCGGGATTGGGAGATGTGAAGTGGGGATTGGGAGATGTGAAGTCGGGATTGGGAGATGTGAAGTGGGGATTGGGAGATGTGAAGTCGGGATTGGGAGATGTGAAGTGGGGATTGGGAGATGTGAAGTGGGGATTGGGAGATGTGAAGTGGGGATTGGGAGATGTGAAGTGGGGATTGGGAGATGTGAAGTGGGGATTGCGAAATGTGAAGTGGGGATTGGGATATGTGAAGTGGGGATTGGGATATGTGAAGTGGGGATTGGGAGATGTGAAGTGGGGATTGGGAGATGTGAAGTCGGGATTGGGAGATGTGAAGTCGGGATTGGGAGATGTGAAGTCGGGATTGGGAACTGTAAAGTCAGGATTGGGAGATGTGAAGTCGGGATTGGGAACTGTAAAGTCAGGATTGGGAGATGTGAAGTCGGGATTGGGAGATGTGAAGTCGGGATTGGGAGATGTGATGTCGGGATTGGGAGATGTGAAGTCGGGATTGGGAGATGTGAAGTCGGGATTGGGAACTGTAAAGTCAGGATTGGGAGATGTGAAGTCGGGATTGGGAACTGTAAAGTCAGGATTGGGAGATGTGAAGTCGGGATTGGGAGATGTGAAGTCGGGATTGGGAGATGTGATGTCGGGATTGGGAGATGTGAAGTCGGGATTGGGAGATGTGAAGTCGGGATTGGGAGATGTGAAGTGGGGATTGGGAGATGTGAAGTCGGGATTGGGAGATGTGAAGTCGGGATTGGGAGATGTGAAGTCGGGATTGGGAGATGTGAAGTCGGGATTGGGAACTGTAAAGTCAGGATTGGGAGATGTGAAGTCGGGATTGGGAACTGTGAAGTCGGGATTGGGAGATGTGAAGTCGGGATTGGGAGATGTGATGTCGGGATTGGGAGATGTGAAGTCGGGATTGGGAGATGTGAAGTCGGGATTGGGAGATGTGAAGTCAGGATTGGGAGATGTGAAGTCGTGATTGGGAGATGTGAAGTCGGGATTGCAATTTGTGAAGTGGGGATTGGGAGATGTGAAGTCGGGATTGCAATATGTAAAGTGGGGATTGGGAGATGTGAAGTCGGGATTGCAATATGTAAAGTGGGGATTGGGAGATGTGATGTCGGGATTGGGAGATGTGAAGTCGGGATTGCGATGTGTGAAGTCGGGATTGGGAGATGTGAAGTGGGGATTGGGAGATGTGAAGTCGGGATTGGGAGATGTGAAGTCGGGATTGGGAGATGTGAAGTCGGGATTGGGAGATGTGAAGTCGGGGTTGGGAGATGTGAAGTCGGGGTTGGGAGATGTGAAGTCAGGGTTGGGAGATGTGAAGTCGGGATTGGGAGATGTGAAGTCGGGATTGGGAGATGTGAAGTCGGGATTGGGAGATGTGAAGTCGGGGTTGGGAGATGTGAAGTCGGGGTTGGGAGATGTGAAGTCGGGATTGGGAGATGTGAAGTGGGGATTGGGAGATGTGAAGTGGGGATTGGGAGATGTGAAGTGGGGATTGGGAGATGTGAAGTGGGGATTGGGAGATGTGAAGTGGGGATTGGGAGATGTGAAGTGGGGATTGGGAGATGTGAAGTCGGGATTGGGAGATGTGAAGTGGGGATTGGGAGATGTGAAGTGGGGATTGGGAGATGTGAAGTCGGGATTGGGAGATGTGATGTCGGGATTGGGAGATGTGAAGTGGGGATTGGGAGATGTGAAGTCGGGATTGGGAGATGTGATGTCGGGATTGGGAGATGTGATGTCGGGATTGGGAGATGTGATGTCGGGATTGGGAGATGTGATGTCGGGATTGGGAGATGTGATGTCGGGATTGGGAGATGTGATGTCGGGATTGGGAGATGTGATGTCGGGATTGGGAGATGTGATGTCGGGATTGGGAGATGTGATGTCGGGATTGGGAGATGTGATGTCGGGATTGGGAGATGTGAAGTGGGGATTGGGAGATGTGAAGTGGGGATTGGGAGATGTGAAGTCGGGATTGGGAGATGTGAAGTGGGGATTGGGAGATGTGAAGTGGGGATTGGGAGATGTGAAGTCGGGATTGGGAGATGTGATGTCGGGATTGGGAGATGTGAAGTGGGGATTGGGAGATGTGAAGTCGGGATTGGGAGATGTGATGTCGGGATTGGGAGATGTGATGTCGGGATTGGGAGATGTGATGTCGGGATTGGGAGATGTGAAGTCGGGATTGGGAGAAATATCCAGAATTGCAAGATACAAAGTCACTATTATCTTTTTTTTAAAACATTTTTATTCCTCGGTGGAAAAAAGCTTCCATACAAATTCCTGTTCCTTGTTGAAATGTCAGCTGACACGGCCTAACCTCAGGATAATGATCTACTTGCTGGAAGTGATGTATTATAATGACATCGTTGGTGCCTTTCATCGTGTTTTATAAGCGCTCTAAGACACTTGAGGCATTAGTGGTGTCAAACACTGCTCTACAGTCACAGTGCATGTCCATCACACTTATTCTGCTGTCCACCTGTCCATTATCGAGTCAGTTGAGGCGTTCGTCTCGGTTTTAGTGCGTCTTAAATCTGAAAGCCTGGAGTTTGTGTAATTATTTGCTGTTTCAGAATGATCCACATCTCTTTCTTTCTGTTCCCCCAGCATAATCAACGGCTTCGCCTTACCGCTGAAAGAAGAGCACAAAATCTTCCTTTTAAAAGTTTTGTTACCTTTGCATAAAGTGAAGTCCCTCAGTGTTTATCACCCACAGGTACGATCGCCGTGTGTCTGCAGTTTATATCCGTTTCATGTGCTCGTCACATTTAGTTGTATTATTTAAAAAAAACATTGTTGTATTTTTTTGTAACTTAAAATACATTTAAAATAATGCAGAAGAACTGTGTGTTTCATGCTAACTAAGCAAAAAAAATATCATAAATTTTTTATTTTTGTGCTGATGTTATTTCATATATATAAATATATATATATATATATATAACACACACACACACACACACACACACATATATATATATATATATATATATATATATATATATATATATATATATATATATGTATGTGTGTGTGCGTGTGATATTAAATGGTAACTATTATATATTATATTATTAAATATATATATTAAACACTTATATTAAATATTAACATATATATAACACACACATATAACAGAAATATACACACACACACACTCTCTCTCTCTCTCTCTCTCTCTCTCTCTCTCTCTCTCTCTCTCTCTCTCTATATATATATATATATATATATATATATATATATATGTTAGTTACATAAGTTTTATAAAACAAATTGTAAAATGACAATTGTATTTGTCTTGTATTATTACTTTAATTCAGCACAAATTACATTAGATTCTCATTAAGAAAAGATGTTAATTGAGAAAAATGGGAATTACAAACAAACTCAAAAGTGAAACGTCTATTTGCATTACAGTAATGTGAATTTTTGGGGGAAATTGTGCTAAATTATCATAAAAATGATGTCCTAATTTTTTAAAAATACCTTAATGATTCTAAAAACGGTGTTTTTGTGGTGCAATATGAAGAGGATTGTAATTGTAATGCCGTGATGTGTTGTTTCAGCTGGCTTACTGTGTGGTGCAGTTTCTAGAGAAGGACAGCACTCTTACTGAGCCGGTGGGTTTCAGCGCCATCTTGTGTTCACCTTCTGTATTCCCTTTATTTACATTTACATTATTTACAAGCGACTTACATTGCATTTCAAGGTACACATTTTTTTTTTAACATTCTTTTACATTTCCCTGGGAATCGAACCCATGACCTTGGCGTTGCAAGCGCCAATGCTCTACTGCTTTATGCACATGTGTTTATGTTGTTATTCCTGCTGAAAGAGAAGCAGAGCTGGTTGCCAGCGTACGCATGTTATTTTTGTGTTTAAAACCGTATTTTAAAACGTTAACCCCAAAAAAATGTAAAAGCAAAAATGTGTTTAAACTTAAGTTATTGCAAACTTTGTCACTTTAAAAACATAATGTAAAAATTTGTTTTATACATTTACTTGTTTGTTTTTAAACACGTTTTTGATCTTTAATAACTGCAACTTGTAAATTGTTACTTTAAAAACAAAATATTTTATATATTTAAATGTTTTGTTTATAAACAAATTTTTTTGTTTTTAATAGCATAAATGTAAAAAGAAAAAAGACATCTTTAAAAATGTATAAAAACAAAAATGTTTTGACTAACTTATTGTTAATTGTTACTTTAAAATCATATGAATATTTTATATTTACATTTTTGTTTTTAAACACATTTTTGATGTGTTTAGTAACAAATGTAAAGAAATTTTTAAAAATGTATAAAAACAAAAATGTTTTTAAACTCAAACTGCTAACTTATTGTTAATTGTTAATTTTTAAAACCAAAAAATATTTGATAAATGTACATTTTTTGTTTTTAAACACATTTTTTGATGTTTAGTAACATGAATGTAAAAAGAAATCTTTAAAAAAATGTATACAAACACAAAAATGTTTTTAAACTTAAACTTCAAACTTATTGTAAATTGTTGCACAAAAATGTGTTTAAACAAACTTCAAACTCTAAATTATTTCTACAAAACAAATGTTAAAAGGAATCTTTAAACATGTAGTACATATGAAAGCGCTATATAAATGCCTCATTCATTCATTCATAAAAAAAAAAAAAAATGTTAACAAAACAAATGTTAAAAGAAATCTTTTAAAATGTTCCAAACCAACACTACCGAGTTATAGCCAGCTGTTTGTTCTCCTGTTGTCCTCCAGGTGGTGATGGCTCTGCTCAAGTACTGGCCGAAGACTCACAGTCCAAAGGAAGTGATGTTTCTGAACGAGCTGGAGGAGATTCTGGACGTCATCGAGCCCTCGGAGTTCGTGAAGGTGATGGAGCCGCTCTTCAGACAACTGGCGAAATGCGTCTCAAGTCCACATTTCCAGGTCCGCTCAAACTCTCTCTCACACACACACACACACACACACACGCACACTACCAGTCAAACGTTTTGGATCGGTACGATTTTTAATGTTTTTAAAAGTCGCTTCTGATCACCAATACTGCATTTATTTGATTAAAAATACAACAACAAAAAAAACCAGTAATATTGTTAAATATTACAATTTTAAAAAACTGTTTTCTATGTGAATATATAGTAGTGTAATTAATTCCTGTGATCAAATGCTGTTCTTTTGAACTTTCTATTCATCAAATAATCCTGAAATAAAAAATGTAACACTGATAATAATCATAAATGTTTCTTGAGCATCAGATCCTCATATTAGAGTGATTTCTGAAGGATCATGTGACACTGAAGACTGGAGTAATGATGCTGAAAATTCAGCTTTGATCACAGGAATAAATTACACTTTACTGTATATTCACATAGAAAATGGATATTTTAAATTGGAAAAATATTTCACAATATTATTGTTTTTTTTGTTTTGTTTTTTTATTCAAATAAACGCCTTTTGTGAGCAGAAGAGACTTCTCTTAAAAACATCAAACATCTCACCGATACAAAACTTTTAACTGGCAGTGCATCTGCTGAAAGCAATAAACAATTACATTAATAAGCCAGACGTTAAAGAGGACCTATTAAGTCTCGATGATGTTTCAGGCTCTACTAGAACAGGTTCTCCTGCTTGAATGTTGATTATTCTCCTCATATTCTCCATTGTTGCGGCTCCTCTCTTCCCAGTCTGTCAGTAACGCTCTGTTTACTTCCTGTCTCTATGAAGCCCCTCCTTCTGAAAGCACACTGTGCTCTGATTGGTCGGCTGGATCAGTGTGTTGTGATTGGTCGAGCGCTTCGAGTGTGTTTGGGAAATGCCCCGCCCCTTTCCATAACCGCCAGTTTAACACACTACTAACTAACTCAACCAGGCCCCGCCCCTTTATTCAGCGCATTAATTATTATAATGAGGAATATTGTGGCGTGTTTGTTCCCGGAAGAAACTCGAGACTACAATGGAGGCGTTTCAGGAGTTCAGAAACACTGATATAGAGAAGAACTCACTTATTCATCCTCAAACAGAGACATCACACACACTAAACACAGATGAACACTGAGAAAACGTATTTTAACTGATGGACACTATGAAACTGATGTTTCTAAAAGTAAAAACATCCCTATTTCAGTCATTCCACCTGGTTTACGTGTGTGTGTGTGTGTGTGTGATCCTCAGGTTGCGGAGCGAGCGCTCTACTACTGGAACAACGAGTACATCATGAGTTTGATCAGTGACAACGCTGCGAGGATCCTCCCCATCATGTTCCCGTCGCTGTACCGAAACTCAAAAACCCACTGGAATAAGTGAGTCCCGCTGTTCAGCTTCAGCTGCAGAAACGGCTTATTATGGTTAACTAATTAATATTGAGAATATTGACTAACATGGTAAAAATGAGTAACTCAAAGTCTCGCTGTCGTCAATCATTTTATCCCTTAAAACTCATCTTTGATCACCAAAATTACATATTTAAACGTTTTTCCTTAAAAAAAAAACCTTGAAATATCTTGAATGTAACTCGACACCCTCGCCTCATTTAGTATGCGCGGTTCTATGAATATGCAAATGAGCCCCGCCTCCACTCACTCACTCAGCTCAGAGATCCACTGGTTGACGATCACACGTTGATCTGATTGGTTACAAGGTAGATCAGAGAGTGAGGAAAATTAAAAACTACATAATATAAAAACTAAATTATGATATGGTAAAGTGTCTATATATATATGCATAATGTAATGTATTTTATATATGTGTGTGTGTGGATTAGGGGTGGAACGGTACATGTATTCGTATTGAACCGAAACGGTACGGGCGTCACGGTTCGGTGCACGAATTTGCACGGAGAATACACGGTATAAAAAACAAAAAAAACCCCCTCTTAAATAGCGATCAATCTCGCTCTATTCGCTTTTGGTGTGACTGTGAACGCAGCAATGAACAGGCTGCGATCAAGATTGCAATGCTGGAGTGTGTGTGTGTGTGTGTGTGTGTGTGCGAGAGAGAGAGAGAGAGAGAGAGAGAGAGAGAGGCGCGGGCGCGAATCGCGCAATCGAACAGTGTGTGTGTGTGTGCGAGAGAGAGAGAGGCGCGAATCGCGCGATCGAACAGTGTGTGTGTGTGTGTGTGTGTGTGTGTGTGTGTGTGTGCGCGCGCGAGAGAGAGAGAGAGAGAGAGAGAGAGAGAGAGAGAGAGAGAGAGAGGCGCGAATCGCGCGATCGAACAGTGTGTGTGTGTGTGTGTGAGAGAGGCACGGGCGATGAACAGAGGAAACATAAAAACATACTCCGTCATTTTTTTCATACAGGACATCATTAAAACTGCAAATTGTTTACTTATATTTGTGTACACTCGCAATAAAACACAACATTGTGCTTTTGTCACACTCTAAACTCTTGTCAAACTGTAACCTACAACTGTTAACAAAAGTTTTTAATGGTAGTATTATTTTATACGGAAATCAATAATTTATAATTCAGATGAGAATAAAGTTAGGGTTAATTAAAATGAAGGAAAACAAATATCTTGATCTGAAATAGCTAATTAATTTTAAATTCATTCAGGTACAATTACCAAACATATCTCAAGGTCTTTTCGTCTTTTTAATAATTTAATTTATAAACGAATTATATAAAACTATTGTCAGTGCACTACAAATAAACTGGTTCTATGCCTTTATTAATAAAACTTATTTAAAAAATACAATGTCTTCTGCATTTTTGTTTTGCTTTTCCCTCCATTGTACCGAAATCGTACCGAACCGTGATGTCTGAACCGAGGTATGAACCGAACCGTGACTTCTGTGTACCGTTCCACCCCTAGTGTGGATGTGTACTAGGGCTGTCACTTTTTATTCGATATGCATTCGAACATGACGTGAAATATCCGTAATCGAACTATAAATAAACGAACCGGTTTTTAAAGTGCCATGTTTAGCGCATTTTTTACAGTCTATGATTAGTCCGTTTGTTTTTTATTTTATTGTT